AGTATAGTATCATATACCCCAAAACCCTATTCTAATTACTAAGGCCACTACATTGGCTCGTTAGGTCCACTTCATTCTTCTCCTACGTCACAGTGAGTTTAGGATCGCGAGTGGATTCTACACATATTATCGGGGAAAAACTAATTATTAAACATATTATAGGGAAAAAGTGTTTTTACCCCTATAATATGTTTAGTACTTCCGTTTTCAGGCTTCAGGGCTTGAGGGGTTTTGGGGTCAGGGTTCTGGATCTCAGTCCTCGTGGTTAACCCGAAGGCCCTCAAAGTCCCATCGCTTAAGCTGGGTCCTTGTTGGATACAAGTTTACGTTTTAGGGTTTATAGGGCTTTAGGGCTTTAGGGTTTAGGGTTTAGGGTTTAGGGTTCAGGGTATTTTTGTTAGAATAAAAGCCAAAGGATTAAAAATGATCGTATTCATATTTAATATAGCCCCAACAGGGAACCAGCAAGCCTCAAGAACCTTGCCTGCATTCATCGGAGCTCTGGCGGAGGAGCCGAGATCCCTCACAGAGCGTTGGCGGTACTGCAGCAAGTGCCTTGAGCATTTTGCTTCGGAGTTTTCGATTTGGGGTTGGGTTTTCTTAGGAGCCCAATGGGTAAACTTTAAACTTTTTTGGTATATTAAACCCCTACTAAAAAAAAAGAAGTTTAAACTTTTTTGGACCAGGGTACTGGGCAGCTAAGTTTTAGGGAGTGCGACTCAAGGGTGTGGGATTGTGGACCTTCGAGTTCAGTAAGTTCGATTTTGGGGGCGACATTGGGACAGAATCGAGGCTTTATGTATCACACCCCAGGGAAAATCTAGAAAGTACAGCCCATCCTGTAGCCGGGCCTAAGACCTACACCCCGAGCATGGCGATTTGGGGACCATTATACTATACTTATAATAAGGAACCTCCAAAATGGTATTGGTAATTATTTCTATATCAATCCCTGACCGCACGAGGCCCCTTCGAGGCCCCAGTACTGTAGAGCTCTAGACAAGCCCAGACAAGCAGCACCCCCAGAGGATCCAGATCCCCCAGCATGTTGGGTTTTAGGGTTTAGGCGTTGGCTTCCAAAACCCCCAGAGTGGGGATGCACTTGGGAGACGGGTTCCATTGAAACCGAGGCCTTAAACCATCAACCCAAGCCAGATTACAACCGTAAACCCTTAGCCCAAGATTAAAGGTTTATGGTTTGGGGTCTACACGTCCTAATCCCAGCATGCGCCCTAACCCCACTTGGAGGCTGGGGGGACTTAGTAAGTAGATATCAAGTAGAGTTATCAGTACCCTAAAAGGGATCCTAATTGGGGGTATGGTATTTACAAGTCTGTAAAATAACTAGTTACTAAGTCCCCCGACCCTCCAAGAGGGCTTAGGGGTTTAAACCCTAAGCCCTAAACCTTAAACCCTAAACCGTAAACCCTAAACCCTAAACCGTTGAGGTTGAGGGCTTAAGGTCCAAGCTCTCAGGATTTTGCATCCTCGATCCGAGGCTTATGCTAGGACCCGGAGTAGGCCCTTATTCCCTTTTTTAGGGTTTAGGATTTAGGGTTTAGGTCCCCTTAAAACCAAAGGGCACCCTTTTCATCCCTAGGTTACTCCTGGGTCTAGTATGTGAGTAGTTCTCCCTAGTCCAAGCAAAGCGGGACCCAAAGCTCAGGCCACGTGGCTCCTCCCTCCTGAAGTGCCAAGCCTGGACCAGGCCGCTTTTTCAAAATCTTCGGGGATCAGCGCTTGATATAAGGGGCCTTCATAATTCGAATAGGGCTTTAGGGGCCATTATCCTATAATTGTTATGGTTTTGGGTTTGTAGCTTATTTTGGGGGCCTTAATAATTAGAATAGGGACTGGGGTTCCTTATACTATAGTTATAATAAGGAACCCCCAAAATAGACTGGGTAATTGTTTAGGCCCCTACATTAGGGGTTTAGGGTTCTTGGTTCTTGGGTTCATGGGCTTTAGCTTCAGCGACAACCAGAGTTTAGTGTGTTGGTGTCAGCGGCACTACGGGCTGTTGGAGGGCTTTTGGAGGATCGTGGGTTGAAGCTCAGTTCAGGTTTTAGGAAACGTGTTTAGCCTGGCTTTGGGAACAGAAGGTTGAGAGGGGGTTCTAGTGTTCATTACGTCAGTTTCAGCAAAAGCACCACCCAAGCTGATCATCATGAGTATCAGCCGCGGCAGCTACCACTCAAGGCACCCCCGTGGGCGCAATTCATGAAACGTGTTCGAAGGAGCCGAGCATCATGAGCATTAGCCGCGGCAGTTGCCACCCAAAGCATCACCCAAGCCGAGCATCATCAGCATCAGCCACGGCAGTTACCGCCCAAAGCACGACACGATGAGCATCAGTAGCAGCAACAGCCAGCACCGAAAGCACCCGCCGCCGAGTGTCATGAGAAACAGCCAGCAGCCACCACCCAAAGCATCAGCCCCGGCAGTTTGAACCGAGGCACGACTCAAGCCGAGCATCACGAGCATCAGCCGAGAGGTTCCCGCCACCTAAGCCTCACCCACGCCGAGAATCATCAGCATCAGCTGCGGCAGTTACGTCCAGGAGCGCCATGCAAGCCGGGAGTCATGACAAAATGCAAAAGGGGCCCTACCATGTGGCGAATCAGCTGCAGCCAAAGCATCGCCGGTGATGATTACGTTAACAACGTTTTGGGGATTTAGGTAAGAAGCCTCATCCCGCTGCATCCCTCGACCCGTACAACCTGAGAGGCGCGCATGAAAGCTGCGGCTGCGCAGCTTGTGGGACGACATGACTTCTGTGCATTATCCTCGTCATCCGGTGGGGAGGCCGCTGCGTTTGTTCCTGTAAGGGTTTTCAAATCGAGTTTTTCGATGCATTGATGTCGAGGTTTGGAGACTTCGTAGTAGAATCCTTCTTTCGTTTTTGCGTACGTGCGCTACAAGAGGCCCTTGGGGGCTTTAAGGCTTTCGGATGGAGCTGGATGAGTGCGCTGTAGACTTATAGCCAATGAACTTGCCCCTAGGCCATGAACTCTCCACCCACCTGCGGCACACAGACCCATGATAATCGAAGCCCCTAAACCAGAGACCTAAACCCCGAGTCCATTTTCAATCGGAATCCCTGGGAACCTAAACTCATGACGTTTCAAGGGCCCCACACGAACTAACCCTAAACCCTAAACCCTAAACCCTGAACCCAAAGGGCCCAACCCGAATGCCATCAGGGGCGAAAGTCCCTTCAGCCATGGATCATGGAGCACTCTGTCCCCCAAACACTGAACCCAAACCTAAATATAGGGGCCTTAACAGTTAGAATACGGTTTTGGAGCCCATGATAAAAAATAATAAATATTAATGAGCCCCCAAAATACTATAGGTAATTACTAGTTAAGACCCCTATAAAAAATATGCCCTAAGCCCTTTTAATCCCAGAGCCGCGAGGGCTCCACCACTCGGCAGCTGATTGCTTTGGATGTGGGGCTCCTCGAGCAGGCTGAGCTACTGGGCTTCGTCTTCGACACGTTGTGGGGTTTAGGGTTCAGGAGCAGCTATGTGGGGTTTAGGGTTTAGGGCTGGGTCCCTCCTATTGTCCCTTAAGTTGTAGGGTTGAGGGCGTGGGGTATTTAGGGTTCAGGAGCCGCTATGTAGGGTTGAGGGTTTAGGGTTGAGGGCGTGGGTATTTGGGGTTCAGGAGCAGCTATGTAGGGTTTGGGGTTTGGGGGCTGAGGGTTGAGGGCTTAAGGCGTGACGTTGTACAAGGGACGACAGGAGCGACCCTTAAAGGGAGCCTTTGGGTTCAATAGGGGCTTTGTGAGACTATATAAGGGGTATATAAGGGTGATATAGGGTATTAGGATTAGGGGTCCCTTCTAGGGGTCCCTCCTATTGTCCCTTAAGTTGTAGGGTTGAGGGCGTAAAGCCCCTCCGTAAAACTGAATACGCAAGCAAACAAGCAAGAAGGCAAGGAAGTCAGGGAGGAGGTAAGTACGTAAGTAAGTTACAAAAAGCCGCGAGTAAAGAGCAAAATAGGTCAACAGGAAGCGACTCGGGGGCTCCTGCTCCTCCTACTACTACTACTACTACTACTACTACTAGGGTTTAGGGTTTAGGGTTTAGGGTTTAGGGTTTAGGGTTTAGGTTTTATGTGCCATTCCTTTGAAGGAACTTCGGAAGACCTTGGTGGATTTGGGTGTGAGGATCCTGCGGGCAGGGTTGGAAAGGGGCCCAGTGTGTCGTTTGGGGCTTTGGGGGGTGAGTCTCTAGGTTTTTAGGTAGAAGACTAAATACTTACCTATACTCTTTTGGGGGGTCCCTGATAAGTATAGCATAATAGGTTCTCAAACCCTGTTCTAATTATTAAGGCCCCTACATTAGGAGTGTTCCAGCTGGTTTACTTTGGGGGCGTATGGCTTAATGGAGCTCTAGGCCCATTGTAGCTTCGTGGGTTTCGGGTATTCGGTGGTTTAGGGGACGGCAGCTATAACTCAGGTTGTGGGTCTAGGAAGGAAGCGCTTGGCTTGGAGGGTCGGGGGACTTAGTAAATGGTTATTTCATAGACTTATAAGTACTATAACCCCAATTAGGATCCCTCTTAGGGTGCTTATAAGTCTACTTATTACCTACTTACTAAGTCTCCCGACCCTCCAAGGGAGGTTCAGATACGCGTTTGAGATTGAGAGCTTCTGGTGCCTGAGGTGGACCAGGATCGAGCCATTGAGCATTGTAGGGTTAATGATTTGGGTTCAGGGTTGAGGGTTTGCAACCTCCGTAAACCCTAATCCCTAAACCCTAAACCCTGAAAGAATGAACCAGTGCCTGGAAACCTGAAGCCGACACAGTAATTCTGGGGTGTCAAGAGGTGGAAGAGTCTGGATCTTGGGGGTAACAAAAGGGGCCTCAATAATTCGATTTAGGTTTTGGGGTATGTTAGACTATCATTATCATAAGGAAATTCCGCGATAGTCTTGGTAAATATATATATATATATATATATACATATATATATATAGTATGTGACCTGCTAGTGATGTTCATCCCCTAGGGAATAAGATTAGATCCCGGACTCTTACTTATATTAGCCTAGAGCTTTAAATGCCATCCCCTGCACACTAATGCCCCAACCCTAAACCCCAAACCCTAAACCAAACCCTGAACCCTAAAGCCCTAAACCTCAAAACCTAAACCATGAACCCTAAACCCCTAAAAAACCCTAAACCCTAAACCCTAAAAAACTCTAAAACCCTAAACCCTAAACCCCAAACCCTAAAAAGCCCTAAACCCTAAACCCTAAAAAGCCCTAAACCCTAAGCCCTAAGTCCCACTGAATGGGCTTTGCTGAAGGCTGTGGCGGATAGCAAACGCGGCACTTAAAAACAAAACAACCCAAATTCTGAACCCTAAACCCTAAACCCCAAACGCTAAACCCCAAACCCTAAACCCCCGAACCCTAAACCCCCTAAACCCTAAGCCCTAAACCCCAAACCCTCAAACCCTAGACCCTAAACCCTAAACCCCAAACAATAAAGCCCAAAACCCTAAACTCGAAACCCCTAAAACCTAAACCCGAAACCCCAAAACCCCTAAACCCTAAACCCCAAACCCTTTAAAACAAACCCTAAACCCTAAACCCCAAAACCTAAACCCCTAAACCCCAAACCCTCAAACCCTAAACCCTAAAACTTACACCCCAAAACCCCTAAACCCTAAACCCCAAACCCTTTAAAACAAAAACAAAATCCTAAACCCTTCAGACTGAGGTTTGGTCTGCTGGGGGCCTCCTTCGACGGCGGCCGAGTGCTGATCAAGGCCCCACTTCTGATGCTTCAGGGTTTAGGGCCTTATATTGTTTAGGGTTTAGGGTTTAGGGTTTAGGGTATTAGTTTAGGGCTTGTAGGGTTCAAGGTTTAGGGTTTCACATAGGGTTTAGGGCTTTGGCTTCAGGGGGTGTAGGGTTAATTAGGGTATTAGGGGGTTTGGGGGTCATGGGCTTTGGGTTTGGGGTTCGGGCTTTGGGGTTGTCGGTTTAGGCACCCTAAACCCTAAACCCCTAAACCCTAAACCCTAAACACTAAAACCCTGAAAACCCTAAACCCTAAACCCCTAAACCCGAAACCCTAAACCGCTTCAGGAGGTTAGGGTCAGGATCCAGGATTCAGGGCTGTTGAGGGCTTGTCAAGGGTTTAGGGTTTAGGGGTTTAGGGTTTAAGGTTTGGGGTTTAGGGGTTTAGGGTTTAGGTGTTTAGGAATTTCGGTTTTGGGTTTTGGTTTAGGGTTTCGGGTTTATGAGCTACATAGTTGTTTCTAAGTGATCCCATCGTTGAGTTCATTCGCAAGGCTTGCAGGAGGCCGATAAAGATTGTAGCTTAGGAGCCCAATAGGTAAACTTTAAACTTTTTTGGGTATATTAAACCCCTACTAAAAGAAAAGTTTAAACTTTTTTGGGCCAGGGTACTGGGCAGCTAAGGTAGGTGTTGCTCAGTGCTGACAACTGTCATGCACTGTGACATTGCAGGGTATTGTAATATAGAAGCCTCCAGAATTACCTATACTATTTTGGGGGNNCTAATTATTAAGGCCCCTACGTGAGGTTGCTGAATACTGTTATACGATGTCGCAAGTTGCTTGCTTTATAGCTTCACAGCACGTGTTATCTTGTTGCTGGGGTTTGTCAGTGTCCTGCCAAGGTTTCTCAAGTCCCACTATAAGTGTCCCAGTCGTCGTGTTGTGGACTGTAGATGTTACATTAGACCGGCTAAGGATCGTTTACGATGCAGGCTCTAGATGGGAGCTATACAGTGTTCGTGGGTTTTGCTTTCGTGTACCAACAACGAGCGACAGGGCTTTGCAGGTTTTCTTCGACCGTTGGCAACCTCGCTGACCTGAACTACGCTGAAAAAACTCTTGACTTGGTGTCAGGGACCGGGTTGCGGTGCAAATCTCCGAGCTCTTGCAGCTAAATGCCGCGTTGTGAATTACTCGGGCCCGCTCTTGGAAACCACATGCGGCGAGTCCCCCTTCCGACACCTCCA